TTTTCAAAGATTTTTCTTTTTGTAGTTAAATAGTAATAGTCTTACTAGTTCAACATCTGCGGTGAGGTTTATTATGCTACCTACCTATCCACATGATTTGCTCAGGATTTCAAGATAAGGGACATTGCTTCCCTTTTGGTAAGTAGTCGACCGAAGTTTTTCATTTCAACCCAGCAAATACATCTAAAATCTAATCCAATCAGAGCTTTTTAGCTCTTGAATTTGTGTGGTATCCGGGCATCTTTTTCAAAAACCTTGCTGTAAAGGCCCGTTGGACTTGACAGAAGTGCGCACCGCGGAAATTTGGATTGTGAAGTTTATTCAGGCCGAGCATTTTTCTGATGACGTTAAATTGTTACAGCGTGAGCCTAAAACACTCTGCTCATTGAGAACACAAAAGCTAACGCCTTTCCTTGACAAAGATGGGCTTCTAAGAGTGGGCGGAAGACTGCACAACGCAGATATCACGCTTAACGCCCGTCACCCCCTCCTCCTCCCATGCAAGGACAAGTTAGTGCGTTTGCTCGTAGAAAAATATCACGCAGTGAACCTTCATCCCGGCCCTCAATTATTACAAGCCCTTATTTCTCAAAAATACTGGGTTCTAGCTGGCCGTTCCTTATTTCGCAGCGTTGTTCACAAATGCGTGCACTGTTTCAGAGCTCGCCCATCCAATGCAGTTCCCTTAATGGGTTCTCTTCCCGCCCCCCGAGTGCAGCCTAGCGCGCCCTTCGAGCGCACAGGCGTTGATTACGCTGGCCCTTTCTCTGTGAAACTTCACTCCAATCGCACCGCGCGCACTGTCCCGGCCTACGTCAGCGTTTTTGTTAGTTTAGTCACTAAGGCGGTACATCTCGAAGTTGTAGACGGCCTTTCCACCCCTGAATTTATCTCCGCCCTTCAACGATTTATCGCTAGGCGCGGAAATCCTTGTTTGATCGTGTCCGATAATGGCACGAATTTCGTCGGCGCGGCCAACATATTCGCTCGGATCATGAAATCAGATGATCCTACCTTACAGGAATTTTTTTGGAAAAATAATATTCGGTTTGAAAATATCCCGCCCTCCAATCCTACCAGTGGAGGCCTGTGGGAAGCCGCCGTTAAGAGTATGAAATCTCATTTGAAACGGACGGTAGGAAATGAGAGACTTTATGCCGCGGAATTCTTAACATTGATATGTCGCATCGAGGCGATGATGAATTCGCGCCCTCTCACCCCTATGTCATCAGACCCTAATGACTTTCGCTCTCTGACGCCCGGTCATTTTCTCATTGGCCGCCCTTTGTGCTGCCCCCCTGAACCGATTTATTTTGATCAAGACATGTCTCGCCTCCGCCGTTGAGAACTTGTAAATGGAATGTTTCAAGCAATCTGGCGGCGATGGAGCGTTGAATACATGCACACTCTCCAGCCTCGCGGCAAATGGGTCAAAGAGGCCCCGAACTTAGAAGTAGGAACTTTGGTCCTCATTAAAGATGACAATTTACCTCCCCTAGAATGGAAGCTTGGCCGCGTGTTACATGTTTACCCTGGTAAGGACAAGCGCGTTCGAGTAGCTTCGGTGAAAACCATTTCCGGAACTTATGAGCGCCCGGTCCTAAAGCTTTATCCCTTGCCTCGGCAAGAATGACCCCTAAAAGGACCCTCATCTTATGTTTCAGTGTTGCCCACAGACACCATGAGCGGCACTCCGTCCCCCTCTGCTTGGGACCGCGAAGAAGAGGAGCTTCTTAGGACTCCCTCACCTCACCCTCTCTTAGAGGTCGCCTCTTGTGGCACCAGTCCTCCCACGACGCCCTTCCCTGATCGCCCTGTCACCCCTCCTCCAGATTTTCGGGATGCAGTTCATCCCCCTATGCCCCCTCGACCTGGCCCTCCACCCCCCGCGACCACTTATCGGCAATTTCGCTGCATGGTCTGCGGAGAGGTCGGGCACATCACCTTCCGATGTGGCCACTTCGCGCCCCTCACCCCCCAGGAACGTTGGTCATTAGTCAGGCGGGAAGGCAGATGCGCCAACTGCCTCAGCGCGCAACACGCCGACGGCGTTTGCGCAAGCAAGAAACGATGCGCTCAATGTGGCAGAGCGCATCACACCATGCTGCATCTCCCTGATGGGCATTTTGCTCCCTCCTCGAGCGGCCCCCAACCTCCTTCTCAGCTCATGTTCGTTGACATGTTTAATTCACTCAAGAGACCGGCTCCCTTCTGCCAGCCGCCGCCGGACTATGAAGGGTTCCGCCGACGCCGCCCCAACCCCATCCCTGCGGGTTACGAGGCGCCGTCTCCCATGCCGGGCCTCCCACGGTTCCCCCCGCCGTCACCAAGGCCACCCTCTCGAGGCTATCCGCCCTTGTTAAGAATGCCGGAGCCTTTGGTGCCCTGCTCTCCGGTCCCACCTCAGTCTCCGCCGCCAGCCAATCCGTGGTGGCCGGAAGACCCCTTATACGAGTTCGGGTTCGAGCGGTTCTTCCCGCGGACTCCTCCTCCAACGTCATCACCGCTGCCGTCTATTTATGAACTCGATCCAGGCACCCCCCCCTCCAGAGCACCTTTGGAACCATCACATAACCGATTGGGACGAGTTCGACCCCTTCACGCCACGCAGATTTCGCCCTCCGAGCCCAGCACCTCCGATCTCATTCAACCCCCCGGTTCTCCTCTCATTCATTTGGAGCCAGAGGAGATGGTGGAAGTGAGGCCACGAGGTCGCGGCTTCCCAGCTTACGAGTCGCCGCCGCCCAGCCGTCCATCCTCACGGCCCGGCCCCTCTAGTGCTCGTGAGCGTGTTCGGTCCCTAGCCCGTGGACGCGAGGCCACCCGTCAGCGAGACGCCTCCCGCGCCCGCTTCCACGGATCCCGCCGTCTAGGGCCAGGCCGTAGCTCGAGACCGCGCCGCTCCCCGCCGCCCGCCCGGATGATGCAATCCCCGGAACGCGACCCCCTCTACGCGCGAGTTCGGCTCAGGGGCTCTGGTGCGTACGTCTTCGCCCGACGCGACTGGCACTAGTCTTTCGGTCTGCGTGTCGCCCCTTTTTTGTTTCGCCCTCCTGTTTTTACTTATCATCGTCGTGTCTATGTTTTAATCGCCCTTGTACGTTGTTTCACTGTTTGTTTTTTGTGCCCCGTGTCTCTAGTCGCCCTTGTAATTACTTCATCGTTTTGTGTCCCTCATGTTTTGTCGCCTTTGTAAGAACCCATTTGCCCTCGCATCCGTTTTATCACGTCGCGTTTTTTGCTACCGATTCCTCCTGTGCCCTCCGCTAACTCAGGTTCACTAGGCCCCTAGCTCAGCTATGCTACTACCACCCTTCTCCTCGCCTTGGTATCGCAATTAGCAGCCTAGATCTGACTTGTAACCCCACCTGAAGTAAAGTACCTTACTTTCATTTCAGAATGGAGCCACTGCCGCCCATTGAAGTCTGGGACTCTCCGCCTGTTTTGGAGGAGCCTCCCCCCTTCACCCCAAGGCCCACCCCCACCTGCCCCTTGTGTAGCCTGCTCCACTCCTCAGGAGACTGTCCCCAGTTTAACGGCCTCAGCCCCACCAACCGACTCTCGGTGGTCCATGGCAACGGGCTGTGCGTAAATTGTCTCTGCAGTCACGAGCTCGATTGGCCTCAAGTCCACTGTGACTTGAGGGCACAGTGCACTTGCCGCGCCCCACATCACCCGCTGTTGCATGACAGCCGTCAGATAGTGGTGCCGCCCACTCACCCACCAGGGGTTCGCGCCTCTCTCAGGGGTCGTCGCCCCATCCCCAATACACCCTATCTGCATTTCCTCCATCCGGGAGTAGCCAGAGCTCCTCGCGCTCCAGCTCCGAGACGCTGAACGGCAGCCGCCTCGGCCATCACCCTTAGTTCGCCTTTGTAGTTTGCCCCTTGCCCAGAACCACTTTGTCGCCCTTGTAGTGTTAATCCTCTCCCTCCGTGTTTCGCCCTTGTATCTATGTTTTATTAAGTTTTTTCGCCCTTGTAAACAACGCGCTCCTCCTTTCGCGCCGTGCTCTTCATGTTTCTAGTTCACTGTTCTTGTAGCCCTTGTACCTCCATTTCGTTTTGTAATCCCTCCGTGATTCCAAGGGGGGGAGTATGTTGACGCCCTTGCGTCTCGAAAAATATCGAACATCGATATCGCTCCGCCACCTATCGCCTTTTTTGCTAATTAGCGATTTTGGTTGTCGCGTTCCCCGATGGATCGCGCATGCTTGTCAATTAGCACCTACTCATCTGTCACCCCTCCCCTCTCTCGATAATGGACTCTTCTATTTTTTGCATGCTACGATACCGCGTTGCCAGCGCGCTCTCTAAGGTTCCACCCCTTTTCAACTTGTTGAATCTTGCTCGACCCTTGTTAGCTGTTCGTCCTGTGTCTCGACTACGTGCCGTGTGTTTTTCCTCGAGTTTTCTCAAGCCTTTGCGGATCTTTGCGCTGTACGTTGTTTTCCTTTGGCGGATTTTCCCCCAAAGCTTCTCGAGCTTCGAGTTCATCGCTTTCTGGTTGTATTCAGGTAGAATTCATGAATTATACCTCCCTCACAGTCTGATTGTCTAGGACTGGCCCCCCTTAGGCCTACCTCGTGTTGCTAATTTCAGACCTGGCAAATATCAGCATAATTTCACCCTTTGTTCCCTATTTACCGCTGAATACCCTTCATTAGAGCTCAAAGTGAACTATCCCTTTCCTTTACTCCCTTAAACCCTCTCCTTAGTTTCCCTAATCCTCTGGAGACTTCAAGTTCAAGGTCATGCCTAGATCCCTCATGACCATGGAAGGCTAAAGTTTCAATTATGACTTCATTAGCAAGTCTTGTCACCCAGGAATAATGGTTCGATGGTCTCTGCATACTAACACTCCATGGTAAGCCTCATGTTTCACCCAGACATACCTCTTTATGACTTATGATGATCTGTGTATTATGTGTCCCCACACCCCTGCCCCATTTCAGGTTTGTCTAAGTTCAATCTCTTAGGCTCCTAAAGATACAGTCCACTAAATTTATCGGAATTCAGGTCCCCCAAAGATCGATTTTACCTTTCGATTTTATAGCGGCCCAAACAAATAAAAATACAATTTTTAACGAGTTGTGTAATAATATTTCCGATTCCAAGATACCTATGCAATTTGAAATAAGAATACAATTTTTAACGAGTTATGTAAAAATTTTTGGTCGTTGAACCACTTGTCATAATTGGACGTACTTATTAATGCTAAAAGGAACTATGTCTCACGCAAACCCTATGCACATACTAGTTTCTTTCAGCGTAAAGTAGGTCCACATGAGCCTTGGCGTTAGAGATGCATCGAATGTGCAAAGTGGCTAGGTATGGCTGTGTAAAAATGTCTAATGACAGCGTAGAATGTTGGTAAATGCATTTTATAGGTAGACTGAAAGCTCCAATTCCAATCTAGGTATTCGAATAATTACATTCAGATGCATTGTTGAATCGAGTTCAAATATATCCACTCTCAATGGAAGAGTACTGCACTTGCACTCTGACGAGGGAAATTATTTCAACGGTACCTAAGGTTGGAGTTGGGTCTTTGGTTAGTACAATGTACTAATGGCAGATTCTGAAATATTGTGTGTCAGTTGCTTTTTACAAGAGCCACCTTTGAATCCTACCCAAGTTTAAGAAAGAAAAAAAACGCAAACGGCAAACAGTAATATGTAGCTTGCCTATTTTCTTTCTATATTGTTCATGGACTCGAGGATCAGTCAGAAAGAGGGGTGAGAAACGATTTCAACGCATATCTCTGGGATGTGGAAATTTAAAATTTGTGAAACGTCATCAGCTTGTTAAGATTGTCCCTTGCCTTAGAAGGATTCAGACGCCTCCGCTTTACCAATACATTGTTAACTTATCAATCTCCTCTTATTTTGATCATATTTTGAAGCAAAGATCCCCGCATGAGTAGGTACTCCGCCCGATTCTTTACTTAGGTATTTGTTTCACTACAATAATGGCAGACCTACAATCTCTATGACACCATGGAGTGAAATTGCGATGCTTTATTGGATTAGCATTCCTACACTGAATTAGCACTACTTCACTGAATTAGCACTTCTACACTTTCAATGCCCACCTATCGTAAGTTCATTGGAAGCTCAATCAACAACATGATGAATTTCTGCGTCTGCCATGTAACACGAATTTTCGTAAAAATACCTACAGAATCAATCAGGTGTAAAGAAAAATAGAAGATTGACCATCCATTCTTCCCTCATGGATCATCCGACCTCTTCTCATTATCAGCATGATTACGACACTCGATTACCCACACTTTCGGATGGTCGCGTTTACAGATTAATTCGGATGGAAAGAGGTGGAAAGGCCATGCCTTTCCACCACACATCCGAGTCAACTGACACATCTGAGTCATGGACCCATAACTCAGATGTGTGGGCAATTTTAGCCGACATGACAGCACTGAACCGATACAGGTTATTGTCCCCTATCCCAGACGAAATACCTAAAGAAGCTGTGACCCTTAAGGACCCGAGGAAAAGGCGTGTGCAGACTTCTGAGCAGCCCCTTCCATTCGACTTGGAGATGCCTCCCTTCATAGAATCTTCCGTTCGGGTGCTACAGAAATCTTCCGATAAATCCAGTTTCAGTCCTCACTCAGATGTCCATGACTCAGATGTGTGGGCATTTTTAGCCGACATGAAAGCACTGAACCGATACAGGTTATTGTCCCCTATCCCAGACGAAATACCTCAAGAAGCTGTGACCCTTAAGGATCCGAGGAAAAGGCGTGTGCAGACTTCTGAGCAGCCCCTTCCATTCGACTTGGAGATGCCTCCCTTCATATAATCTTTCGTTTGGGTGCTACAGAAATCCTCCGATAAATCCAGTTTCAGTCCTCACTCGACGGCATGAAAATAGGCTATAAAACAGCCATGCTTTGCTGAGAAAAATTTTTCCGAGTTTGTCAAGGACTACTTATGGAAGTTTCGGTAGTTACACAGATGGGCAGGCCGTGATTACGCCCTAGCGGCTGCATTTTGCGAGTAATTCCCGTAAACACGGTTTATTATGCGAGGCCTCACTGCTGCAGCAATTTGAAATCCATCTAATAATTGTACGTGTAATTGTATAGTGTAACTACGTAAATAAATACGAAATTAAAAAATTGACTTCTCCGAAGACGTTGTTGTTGTTGTTGTTGTTGTTGTTTTTTTTTTTCTTTAATCGGGAAGTCACAAGTCAGTTAAGCGTTCTGCCTAACTTCAAACTATGAGCTTCAAAGAGGCTCATCGATGGAACTCAAGGAATTCCATGCAGAGATGGCTGAGAAATAGACGAATTGGTGCCAGTAGGAGTGTTCCAATTTGAAAGTGGGCTGGATGCTTTTAATTTGTCTTAAAATTTATTATTTAAATTTATAAAAATAAATTGTAAAATAACCTAAAATGTGGTTTCTGAAGTTGACACACACCATCCATTGCGCAGTTCCATGAATTATTTTTAAATTCAAGTTCTCGTGAAAAATTGTCAGATCCTCCTTCTTTCAACGAACTCTCCTTATGACGCTCGTATAAGTTTGCAAACTTCCCGAAAGCATTATCTTTAAAGTTTACGGATTTGAATTAATTACAGTTTAGTCGATTATATACTACGCGCTTACTTCCACGGTTGTAACGGCAAATCAACAATTAATTCATTAGGAAACGATTCAGCTTCTGTTTGATCTTCCTTGCATGTCGATTACACCTAATTTTCAAAAAAGCAATCTTTCTTTGATTCTAATATCGTTTCAAAATATCTATACCTTTATGAGATTTTTTTTTCGACGGTCAAAGCTATAGGTTGTTCTAAATGAACACGCCCGCCTTCCGCGACAGAGTGTTTCGCGGACCTATGCCTATTTGCTCATCATTTTCATCATAATCGTTTTTTAGGATTCAAACAATATGTCGGTCAAGCTGACAGAGTAATTTTTTGCATTTTTAACTAAATTTAAAAAGGAGCCGACATTATTAGTAGATCTGAGCTTATTCTAACCAAACATTACACGGTTTTCATGGTTTACTGCGTTTGACCCAACTAGCCGGAGAGCTAATTGAACCGAAAACCGTGCAAATGAGCTCGGTTGAGTTTCTCCGTGTACATCCAGTCAGACAGCAGCCACTCGTCATCTTCAACTTTTTAGGAGAATTTTCTAAGGATTGGACCGGAGTGGTGTCTACCGCCACTTACAATTTAAAGATTTCCGCTATCCCCTTCCCCCCTCGGCCCTTCTCCACCAGTAGCGCTGACGTTAATGCTTCCGATCGTTGGATATTTACGTTGACTGTTGACAAGGGAGCAGTCATTAAGTTCCTGTTGTTCGTTGAAGCACCTTCAATTCTCGAAAATTAATGTAGGTTTCTCTTTTTTCTTTCAAGACTCGTACCGATCATAAAGTATTATTTTCAAGATGAGTACTGAAAAAGACACAATCGCTGCAATTAAAGACAGGGCGCTACTTCATGAAATATCAAAATACTGTTTCCTCTATAATCCCGAATGCGCATTTCACAAAAGCAACAGGGAAAGAGGAAAAGCATGGGCCGCTATCGCCTCAAAACTGAACACATCTCGTAAGTATTAGATTTTTTAATTCGTCAAACAATTTTCTTGGTTCATTCAATCTGCCAACTCTTTAATAGGCCTACAAAATAGGATATAAGTATTATACAGATAGTTCTTTACACAAAAATTTTGGTTATTAGATATCAAACGCATTATCGGTCATTTACCACGCGAGTCTTAATTTGTATTTAAAAATGGTTTTTCGGATCACTTTTGGATAGTCGCTTTAAGGAAGGCTTCGTTTCACGAAAGTGGACATTCTAAAGGACTCATCACTGCAAACGACATGAAAAGTTTGATGAAAATACATAGGACACGAAACCACTGGGAGTTTTTCGTACCTATGGGAGGAAGCTGAAATTGAAGGGTAAGGGGAGGGGGAGGGACTAAAAAACATCGTTATAAATTTTTTGTTCAGCTTTCAATTCAGACAAAAATGCCTGAATTGCCTTTTCTCAGGTTTGCAATCAATACTTTCTATTGCTATCTTACCGATCTTTACTTTCAGAAACGTCATGCAAAAAGAGGTGGCAGAAAGCAAAAGACTGCTACAATAGGCACAAGAAAATTTTGAAAGGAACAACCGGATCAGTTCCTTTGAAATACATTCCTAATCCGATCATTCAGCATATGTCGTTTATGGATACTACCGAAGTTAAGAAAGAGTAAGTTCATATTCACTTCATTCCAGTCTAGAAATGTATTTTATTAGGTTATTAGTTGATGCGCGTCAAATTGCGATCTAATTAATCTTTCTAGGAAGGACGTGGGCGATTCGATAATTCTGCGATGGAAGCTTCACGCGGAAGAGGTCAAGTATAAGATTTCATTCGTTTTTATTCAAATAAAGAATGTAGTAAGACACGGAAGAAATAGTAGGTACGTATGACCGTATTCATTCTAGCTTCAAAGCGGCATCCGCGAGTAATGCAAGATGAGAGTCTTCATTAAATTTAGATACAATCACGGTAATCGTAACAGAATTAGCGTATCGTGAAAATAATTTTGGTGAAAGTCTTCGTACCTATTGTGTTGTTGTGCCGTTTCCATCAAAGGCAATACGGATTGAAATTTTAACAATCTTTTTCCCGTGCAAAAAATTGATCGGGGGGTGGGTGGAGAAGAACGTAGATTAAAATTTTCCGTGGGGTTTTTCTGTTTCGATCAAAATACATTTTTCCGACCGGACCGAACATGTTGCAAAACAAACCATATGCACTTTACTACACGACTCGCCCGCATCTGGAGGAGAAAAGTTATCTAATTAATGATTCCAGTATGAGAACTCCAAAAATCTGACTTTCAATTTGTTTTTAATGCAGAATTACCGTACTCAATTTCTTTATTTTCAAATTTCCCGCCTACCTCTTCCCTTCTGATTCCCAAGACTGTCAAGTATTCCGTAACCTCGTCGCTGGCCTTCAATTTTTTTTCACCTTATCTTATCACCTTATTTTTACTGATACTAACGCTGACTTTCGCTAAACCTTAGACAGAATTTTTTGTAAAGAGATCGAATTAAGGGAAAAAAGTATTCAGCAGCTGGTTGTATTATGACAAACCTTTTAAATTAACATAAATATTGAGCAATAGCTAAAAGATGACTGTAAATATAATGATTAGTAGTTGTGTCGGAAACTCCTTGACTTCTTACACGAATTCCTCGTTCTTCCATCGCTCTTCTCGGCTGTCACAAATTCCACGACTTACCCTCATTATCCCGGTATTCCATACCGCCACACCATATCATTTTTCCGATTTTTATGTGATGTAGTTTATCATTTTTCGTAACGAGAATTTTAGACCAGTTTAAGGTTTAAATTATCATGCGAGCTGATTAATTGTAACGCCCCCCTCCCCTTTCTTACTTCCAGCATTTCATCGGATAACCAGACAACACCGTCTCAAGACACTAACATGACGGACGAATCTTCCAATTTTAACGGAGAGAACAAACTATTTATTGGTACCATTGACCACACACCAATGCCGCAGTCCAGTGACTATGAACAAGTGGATGACCAGAATTCAATCGTTAGTCAATCAAATCCTCAGCCTGATATCAACCCAAATCCAGCAACTGATCATGAAGCTCCTAGAATCGCGACCAACAGCGGTTTTGGCATCGGTCACGAAAGCTCACAGAACCTGGTCAACAACGGTTCCGGCATCGGTTCCGGAAGTTCGCAGTTCTTAACCAACAACGATTCCGGCATCGGTTCCGAAAGTTCACAGTTCTCAACCAAAATCGATTCCGGTATCGGTTACGGAAGTTCACAGTTCTTGACCAACAACGATTCCGGCATCGGTTCCGGAAGTTCACTGTTCTTGAACAACAATGATTCCGGTTTCGGTCACGGAAGTTCACAGTTCTTGGTCAACAACGATTCCGGAATCGGTCATGGAAGTTCACAGTTCTTGAACAACAACGATTCCGGTATCGGTGACGGAAGTTCACAGTTCTTGAACAACAACGATTCCGGCATCGGTGGAGGAACTTCACAGTTCTTGAACAACAACGATTCCGGCATCGGTGAAGGAACTTCACAAAACTTGGTCAACAGTAATTCATACGTCCGCCACGAAACTCTCCTTCAACCTCCGACCAAGAAGAAGAAGAAGAACTGTTCAGTTTTCGGTTCAACTACGTACAGATTGCAAAAGCTTGAAAAGGAAAAGGATAACCTGCTCGAAATCGTAAAAGCACTTGTACATCCTACAGCGACTTCTACGGCTTCTCCGTCAGCACATGACACTGAAGTTGACTTGTTTTTCAGAGGAATAGCAAGCACAGTAAGAAAACTGCCTCGTCCGATAATATTTCAGGTTATATCTTCCATTTTGTCAACCATTACCCGGGCTGAATCCGAGGTATGTAGTCTTGGACAATCCGAGTAAGTAATCGGTATAGCCTCTTTCAACTCCTTTCTGAATGTAAGCAAGGGATACATCGAAAGATACTCAAGTCACAGTTACATGATGCGATACTTAAATATTAAGTACCTACCACGACTTTACGATATATTTAATATTTTGACAAATCAAGCAGAAAATTGTATTATCAAGTGAATATCTTTGTATTTATAGCACATTTACGATCGATGTAATATTTTTTGAAATTCACAAAAATAAATGCTAAAGTTAACTTGTCGTCGTTCATATTTTTTGAGGAAAAAAATCATCAGAACTCTTTATCCCTCAACATTAGAAAAAACAAGAAATATTTGCTAGCCTCGTAGAAATTGTTTAGCTTGAAAGGTGATTTCGGCAGTACCTATTACATCGACTTGCGTTTTGTGCAAACCTATTTGCATTTTGTGAAATTAATATAAAAGTTAAAAAGTTAGAATGTAGGTACCAGTATCCGGAAAGTAAAAATGGAAATTTACCTAACTCTGAAAATTTTGCCTCAGTATATCTGGTAATGTAAAAAAAACTTTGTTAAGGAAGGAGTGCAAAGAAGATGTATTTCATACTTGAAATAAAAAAACATAATTAAAGTTTCTCAAGCGTAAAAAGGATTGAGATTCAAAATAACCTTAAATTAAGGTTAACTGAAAATGCGGCAACCTATTTTGAGACGATTATTTAATTCCTTCGTGGCAAGGACCAAACTTTGAAGAGATACGGTCATGCCTTATTTTCAAAGTCTGGTCCTATTAGACTGTAGAAGTAACGGCCTTCATGAAAGTTATCATTTTGATAAATAATGTATGGTTACTGTAAAATAGAGAAACTATATTATATATCTTTCTGACAGCGAACCATTTATTCAACTATGCTTCCAACACATGGTTTTTTATACAAGCCTTAGGTAATTACTTTAATTCCAGATCCTAATTCAATCCTAAGTCTTTGCTTTGTACCTACTTCAAGTTCATACTGCACATTAACCCTCTCCTGCCCTATCCTATCCAGCATGGCCCGCCAAGAAACGAGACTGTTCAAACGCTACAATTTCCAAAATTAAACAAGCTTTCGAAGCTGAAAAAAATGAGACAATGAATGTGTTAGCAGCTGTCAAAGGGTTTCAAATTCCAAAATCAACCTTCAACGCCCAACTGAAAGGTAATTTGCCCCTAACATCCAAAAAAAAGGCCTAAATTGTCAAATGGATTATACTGTGTGGTGGAGCAGGCTTACCTAATTTAAGGCGTTATATTTCTACAGTCTAATAGGAACAGACTTTGAAAAGGTGTGGTTGTGTCTCTTCAAAGTTTGGTCCTTACCACGAGGGAATTAGATAATCGTCTCAAGATAAGCTGCCACGTATTCAGTGAATCTTAATTTAACGTTATATTGCGACTCGTTGCTCGGCTTTCCGGATAAGCTACTTGGATTGCTGTTAACATTAACAATAAGGTGAAACACTCATAAGACTAGGCTGGTTTTACAGTCTGAAAATTATGAGTAAAGAAAGTTTCCGGAATTAAGTTCAACCGAATTCTAACAGGTCAACTAAAAGGGGTACAGAGCTCAATTTGTTCAAGGTGTCAAACCGGTGCCACACATAGGCGCTTTCATCTTGAATAATGCGGCACCGACGATCGGTGGCGCAGCGCGAGATTTTCATTTCACCACCCTTCTTGTCATTTCCCCTCTTTTTCAAAGCATAATTGAGGGGCTTAGAGGACAAGGTGCATCAGGGCAGTTTTTGCTGTTTCAAAAAAAAAAAACAAGTTTGCATTTTCAAGACTACAAAGATTCTTACGGTGGAAGAGAGTTAAAACTCACTTTTTGATACTTAAAATTCGAATTTGCAGCGAATGTTTCGCGGATACACATTTCTGTTTTTGTATCACTAATAGCTCGGTTTCTCTATCAGGCTCAACTGCGATGGTGATTGCAAAACTGGGTAATATCAATGAATTGTTCCAAATCGAATGGGACTGAGCCCATTTGTCCTTTTAGAAAAGACACCTAGCTGGACGCTGTCCACCAGAGTTTCGTTTGTGAGAAGGAAACGTAGAATTTTTGCGTGACTATAACGACTTAATTTCTTCTTTCATGATATACTATACACCCCAACGTTTTTATCACCCCCCCCCAAAAAAAAAAAGGAAAAAAAGAAAAGACAAAAAAAACCAAAAAAAAACTCATAAAGATAAGGTTTGGGAAAGTAAGTATTTATCAATAATATTTGGTTTCATGAGAGCTTTCTTCAAAGCTATGGCATTATGTATCTTGAGAAATGTGACCAGTTATTCACTCTTCATTACAAAAAAATTAACAGCAAAAGTTAATCCTTTCGCAAGCAAAAATTACAGTTGCCACAACTGAAATTTTAATCGCAATAGCATATATCTTTTGAACTGTAATGAAACAGTTTGATACAATTTCATTTACATGAGCTTGCATCCGCTAATACTGGTCATGCAGATTCGGTACTTGTTACGGATTGAGTTTAAATGCGCTATCAGGGTAAAACGGAGAATTTTATTGTTTATTCTTTCAATGATGAAGTAAAACAATCGATATTCTGAAGGAAATTTTTTAGGCAAGGAGTCAGATGAGCAACAACTTAGGAGCCACTTGTGATTTATGACTATTCTGCATTGTCCGTCTCTTTTGTACTTACTGTTGACCTATGCTGTAAACATGAGTTTACAAGGTTTTACAGTAGTGACATCTCCTTTACATAGGGCTGAATTATTTATCCTACGTGGATACCTTTCTTTTAATTCTATCAAGCTGATGATAAAATGCAGACTAAATACTCCAACTCACTGCAGGTAAGGCAATAATGTGTTCCATCATCTATACTACGAATAGCCAGCCTTTCTGCAAACCTACAATTTAATCAGCAGTAATAAGATGGCGGATGCAGGACACTGCCTCATCAAGACTGATAGACAAAGTAAGTAGGTATCAATGCTTTCTGTTTTATGAGAGATGCCTTCCAAGCGCAGGCATTCCTGATCTTGAGAAATGTGAGCAGTTTACGCTTCATCAAAGGATATAGTCAGAAGATGTTGAGGCTGTAGAAGCCAAAAATTTTAGTCGCCCGGACTAAAATTTTTGGCTGTCTGAGTCTCGATTGATAGTTTTCAATAACCTCCCAGCTCCGGTCATCGAAAGTCCACGTCTAATGAGTTTTTATGCACTAGCAGGGTGTGCCAGAGAATTAATTCTTGTATCCAATTTCCGTGCAAAATGGAACAGCTAATTTTCTGTCGCACTTTCATAGTGGGTAAATTCGTCACGCGAGGACTCAAATAATCTAAAGGTCAAGAGCCACTGTTGTTTTATATCGAACAACCGCTCTGTATTATCTCCTACATGTGGTAAGCAGTGACGGCAAGTTTGCGTCTCCAGGAACTGCAAATTTTAGTCGATGAGTAGAGAGTTTATCATGAAGGATAGCCTGCATTAGTTAGCATCTCAATTTTATTAAGCCAATGAAGTAAAGTAAGTAAAGTGGTACAGGTACATACTTTCTGCAGAGGTCAATATGAAAGGTCTTTATTTGAAGAATTTTATCTCAACGCAGGCAAATGAGTCGATTCAATCAACTTCTGACAAGTATCTTGGATGTTGTGACATTGAGTTGATTTCATTGCACTTGTTCAACAAAGGGCAATAACGGAGTGCAGCGTAGCTTCTTTGAATAGACACGTACGCAAGACTGACAGGTGAATGTGTAAACCGGGTTTTCAATGTAGAGCATTTCACGTCTATGGAATAATTGAGGCTTTATGCACCAGTAGCATGATACATTGAAAAGAGACACGTCCACTCCGGAGGAGTTCGGCTGCTAGCAAAATTAGAGGAGAAAGTGGAAACGCAACTTCATCCCCACAAATTGAGACCCTGACAGACATCATTGTATTGAGGGAAAGGATGATTTGCTGGCGGATATAGTTGTTAATCAGCCTCGTTAATCTATTATTTCTGTGAACCGATCATCTCGTAAAAATTTCAAGTTTTAAAATTGTTTCGTTCCTTGTCTTCGAAAAAATGCAATTAGAACGGAAATTTTGGAACACTGCGACTTGCATACGAAGCCGCCCACACTTTAGCCGTCGATAAGTTTTTAGGTTATTAGAAATAAGACAGGTAAGGTGTCACCCAGGATCTATTTTGAAACTCACGAATAAAAAGTTCTGATAGTCTTTTCTGATGAATCGAAATGGTCGTCCAGTTTATTTTGCCTTGACAGATGTGAATGAGATTTTCCAGTAAACATTGATATTGACACACTAAACACCAGTTTAAATTAGCCACTAAATCAAGGATAGCGCACTGCCAAAGATGCCTATTCTCTGAAGATTAACATCGCAATCGAGCTCATTCCGAAATTCATGCAAAAAGCTCTCCGAAGACTTTTAGTTTCGAGAAATTTGAATTCAATTAACATGTGCTTTGTAGGTACTCTTGAATCTTCATTCATAATGTAGGTTGTTGTTATTAGCATTTGTTTCATTTAATTTGAAATCCTTTTAATTGGAAGTTAAAAATACTTTTATATTCCAATAAAACAAGAAATTTTTCTTGGATATACTCAATATTCAATTACATACCTCATCAGTAGATAGACAAGTACCTAGAGACAAAGCCAAACAGTATCAACAAAATGTCAATACCAAATAGAGTACTCATATCCATATAGAAATTTTCTGACAACACTTGATATTCACTGACCAGTCGCCATACCTGAGGTTGTAATTCAGGTACTGGGGGTCTGATGGATAGATCCCTAAATCTGAGATTAATCCCATACTGGATTGCAAGGAACATACTGTGTACGAACCGAGGGCCGTTTGCTTCCATATTGGAAATGTCCTTGGCAGCATCTTTACCCTTCCCGAATTTCGCGCATCGAATTTTGGCTTTTATGAAGACTCCAAGCTCTTGGAACTGAAGCGGTTACAACGAAACAATATATGGAGTTCAGACCTTCGAACAAAGAGATTGGACACACCAAATTTGGACTTTGTACGCGTTCGGGAAAAATTCAACTAGGCTAACGCAGTTAATTGAATGAGACGTTCCTCCACATCAAATGGTAGGTATATGATTTTATATCAATATTCTTTACCTGTTGAAATAACGTAGAGAATTTCCAAGAAGACTGTTTTGAAGCTAAATGTA